ACATTTATTAGGAACAGCAAAAAAGGGTCATAGGTACATTTATTTGGGAACGGAGGAAGTACCTCACTGTCATTTTGTTGTATTTTCACTGTATTTATGCTCACAGTGTGTACCTGTACGTACCGTGGGGGAATTGCCAATAACTTGACGTTACAGTACAGTATTGCGCTTGACAATAGGAGCTCTAGTAGGTACCAACGCCCAGTACAGTACGTATTAAGGACATTGCACTGCAATTTTTATTATGAGCACATACGGTAGGGAGTATTATAAACCAAAAGTGTCATACACACCTCATTTCAAACAATAGAAATCTCTTAAACTTACTCGCGTCGTGTACGGTTTGGTTGCTGCTTTTACTATCGTGCGTACAGTTTGGAGTTAAGGGGCCACTCCGAGGTGATAGATGATTGGCTGGAAAAACTGGAGAGGGACAAATTCCAAAATTATTCGTTTTCACGCGCGCTTGCATGCATTGTGATTGCACGGGCTGTAATAGAAAAGGTTATTTTCGTTTTTATCGAATGAATGCATCAATCAACAGACATCATCAATTCGTAGGCGAAGCCTAACTCGAATGGCGAACGTCGCATGTTTGTTGTTCCTCATTGTATGAACTCTGAAACATAAATGAGACCGCAACGTCCCAAAGTCGAAGGGTTTCTTCCATCTTTACGTATGTTTGACAAAAGGTAGGAGCGAAGGTTTCGTCTTGAAGCTCGTGAGAACAAGTGAGAGTCAACAGTGACGCCAACTGCTGGTAGACCCCGTTTCACGTTTCATTTCTACTCGACTTTCTTGTCTATTGGACATGTCAACATTCGAATCCCTCGATACGTTAGAAACTTTATTTGAAGAACGTAATTCTATTGAAGAGTTCGCAAAACACGCCTTGTCGTCGGTAGCATAGTAGTTGGAGCTGCAATCCAGACGTTTCTGGTGATTCGAGAAACGATCTGAAACATAATTGTGTTGTTGCTGACTATTGTTCACGATGAACAATTCAGCGAACAGCATTCCTAATAATAGAGCAGCCACAGAAAAAACAAATCACTTTCCTTGGAAACTATATGATATGCTGCACACAGCCGAAAAGCGAAACGAGGAGCATATCATTTCATGGATTAGAGACGGAAAGGCCTTTAAAGTTCACAAGCGTGATCAATTCATAGAAGAGTACATGAAGAAGATATTCAATCAGACAAAGTTCAAATCTTTTCAGAGACAACTCAACTTGTGGGGATTTCAACGAGTTCAGATTGGACCCGACAAAGGGAGTTATTTCCACCCCTTATTTGTGAGAGGAAGAAGAGATTGCTGTCAGCATTTGAGCCGTGCGAAATTAAAAGGAACAGCCGAGAAGTTGACACACGCAGGCATACTAGAGAAGCAAGAACCACAAAATAGTCCTTATTCGATGGCAACGACAACGGCAGAATCTCTTTCTACGACGGGTGCTGCGATTCTTCCACTTGCAGTAGCTACACCATCAATTGTTGAAGGTAACTGCAACACAGTTTCACCTGCATCTTTGTTAGGGGCTTTTGTTAATTTTTCGCGACCCGCAAGTGCTACTGCGATCGAACATACTGTCCAGGGACATTCACTTCAAACACAGCTTTCAGAGTTTTTGCATTATCATACAAGCGAACGGAGGAAGGAAATAATAAGAAAGGCAGCCATCAGCTTGAGTCCAGAACTTTCAGTAACCGTCGTGGGTTCACCTGTATTTGCAATCGCTACTGATACATCAAAACAAAATCCTAGAAGCGAGTACCAACAAAAATATCATAATGACTACACGCATGAGCAACAGGAGAAGCAAAGTCGAATACCCCCTCGACAACCAAAGATAGAGGTATCAACGGGCGATCACCAACAAAAAGATGAAAAGGAGTCGTTAAATTTTCAACAAGGGCGAACGAAGTTCGATCGTCAGTCAAAAATTGAATGCCAGGGACAAAAGTCACGGAAGAGAGTGACATCAAGCGGCTTAGAAGCCTTGTTGGCTGTGACTGCGCAGCGGCGACGAGAAGAAGAAATGGCCCTCTTGCTGGGCATTCCTGACGGAGAGGACACACCGCGCACGAAGTGACCTACTTTTGCCCGAGGTATGGAAAGGGGGTGACAAATGGCTACGTTGCGAATGCCCACATTTTATACTACATTTTTGAATAGTAAGAGTACATTTTTCGCGAACCAGTACCAATTACGACCAATAAATGCGTCGTCAAATGCAAAGTATACAGTGTTAGCCTCATTCCCCTATTATTTTCTGTACGTTAGAGGAGGTTGATTTGGATACTATATCGTACAATTACGTGTTCTATGGGATCCTTAGTGCCTTACAGGATTTCCTTGGAATGATGCGTAGAACTCAAGGTTCTCAGGTGTGATCTGGCGTTCCATGCTTGTGAGTGTGGTCAATACATGTTCTGTTGTAATCACTGGGTCGGTCGAGCCACCTTCGTTCTCTTCGAAGTCCTCCATGGCCTTTAGTGCAGCATCACGACACGCCCCAATGATCTCCGCCCCGGACAGTCCCCCACTAATTTCATCTTTGGCCAAACTTGCAATCTATGAAATGTTTTCATGAGAGAGAAATAGGTGAGCCATTTTATTCATTTTGTGAAAACACTACATAGGACCCTGGATTTTGACACTTACATCGATTTCCCATGCTGATGACTTCTTGAGACCAATTTCCAATATTTTCTCCCTACTTTTCTCATCTGGCACACCTACATGTATCATGCGATCAATTCTACCTGGTCTCATTAGTGCACCATCAAGTAGATCTGGACGGTTGGTGGCACATACGATTACGACTCGTCCTTCTCTTCCTGATGCATCCTTGCTTTGCTGGATTCCATCTAGCTCGGTCAAGAGTTGAGACAGCAGTCTTTCGCCCCCGCCGTTTGAACTTCCTCCACGTTTTGAAGCAATTGCATCTACTTCATCAAAGAAAATGATAGCAGGGCTGGCTAGTCGTGCCCTTCGGAATAATGCTGCTAACGCCCTCTCACTTTCTCCGAGCCATTTACTTAGAAGTTCAGGCCCCTTGACAGCAAGAAAGTTCATATGCCCTTCTGTTGCTAAGGCTCTTGCCATAAGAGTCTTTGAACACCCTGGAGGACCATACAATAGAACTCCTCGTGGTGGTCGAATACCAAGTCGTTGGAATGTTGCACCATGAGTCAGTGGGAGCTCTATCGCATCCCTGAGTTGTCGTTTTACTTCCTCCATGCCACCGATTGACGTCCATGGTACAGATGGAACTTCGACTGTGACTGACTTGATCGCAGAGGGTTTGGTAGAAAGAATAGCTTTCTTCATTACTGTCATCGTGATCTTTCTTTTTCCCTCAGATAGCATCAAGACCTTTCGAAGAGCTTCTTTCGTAGCAAGCTTTAGATCGGCGCCCGTGAAGCCTTTGGCAAGACGAGCTAAGGACAACCATTCAGAATCACAGAAATTTGTTTCAGTGCCGAGTGACTCTAGATGAAACTTGAGAATTTTCAATCGAGTCGACGGTTCGTCTGGTATTGGTACTTCAATTTCGGAATCCAGTCGGCCTGGGCGTCTCAACGCCGCATCAAGCGCTCCCGGATTGGTCGTAATCGCAAGGATTACTGTAGGATAGAATTTATCTGAAGGGGTAGGTTCACTACTTTTCATGCCGTCCAACAGTGCAAGAAGTGTCGATGTTAGACGATCCGCTCCGAGGTCAATCCCTTCCCTTCTTGGGCAAATGAGATGAATATCGTCCAGAATCAACAAACATCCCTTCTTCCCGGGTCTTGGTTTTTGTGCATTCGAAAAAAGTTTTACTAAACGAGCTTCGGCCTGACCGACAAATGCCGTTTGCGTTTGGAGGGTAGTGCAATGGATCCGTTCTACGTGATATACACCACTGGATTCGAAGCTCTGCCCCACTTGCAAAGCCACTGAAGACTTTCCTATTCCACTTGGGCCGTGCAACAGAATGCCTTTTGGAGCCTTTAAGCTACCGGTGGAGCCATGAAAACGTTTAGGGTGCAATAGCGGCGTCTCAAGTGCAGATACAACTTGTTTTATTGTATCATCTAAACCCRCAACCATCGGTTTGGGCACAACCATTTCAGGTAAATTAGAATTCGGGTTTACAATTGCTGTCGTTTTCGAGGTATTGACGCAGTTGTCTTTATCGAACACGACAATCGTGTCAGAACTGATCTCAAAAAGCAACATTTTTTCGATTTGTGTATCATTCAGTTGGGCAAGGTTCGATTGCAAAGACTTTTCGAGTTCATTACTCAAGGAGATGGGCGGCTCAATAGCTAAGTTACTTATTCCGGCGTCTTGATCAATCGAAAGTTTTCCCATAGCTTCTATCAATGCTTTGTCTTCTTTTTTGGTAATTTCGTAGCTTGCTGCATCTAATTTGCATTTGATAGTTTGACCTCTGATGGACACAGAAAATAATGCCTCCTGTGCAAGGTATTCACCGGCTAGATGAGCTATGACTAGACGTTGATGAAGAGGCCCTCCTATTGTCCATGGTGATTCTGATTCTGGTTCTCCTGTATCTGAATGTCGTCGCACCGATACAGTCTTTGCGCTCCTGCAAAACATTGACGCTAAAATGTCGCCCATATCCGAATCCAAGGGAACGATTTGCAGTATAGTTCTTTCAGGAACCGCCCTTGACTTGATCGATGACGGAGTCGATGGTGTGGATGGGGTGGCTTTTGGTGATATCAATTGATCGCCTCCACCTCCATGAGCAAAGGAGAATCTACCTTTCGAGGACGACGTAGATGGTTGCGTCGTTGGTGATGGTGATATCAATCGATCACCTCCACCTCCTTGTGCGAAAGAAAATTTGCTCTTCGAAGAAGAAGGAGTTGGCTTTGCAGGTGGCGGTGATATCAATTGGTCGCCTCCGCCACCTTTTGCGAAGGAAAATTTGCTCTGTGAAGACGATGAAGGTGTTGATTTGGGTGAAGGAGTCTTCGGCACTGTTGGCAATGTACTTGTAGAATGCAGATCGGAAGATACCGGTGTTTTGAAAAGTTTAGTACAAGTAGCTCTTGTCTCGTCTCCATCAGGGCAGGATAATGATTCCGCCAGCGATGAGGGAGAAATATAGCAGTTTCCCGGAGTCAGTTTGTTTTTCTTGTGATTATTGCCTTTCACGCTGCCACTATTACCATATAACGATGCCCTCGAAGTGTTTGCACGATCGACATTGCTGTCTATGATTCTAACTCTGGTTATAGCTACCGATTTTATTCGACGGGGATTTGAATCAACCGTGGAAATAACGAAGACTTTATCGCCTGCATAGACATCAATTTTGTTCGCGTCTGTTTCGTGAAGAGCAACTGTAGGGACGTATTTCGTCGATTTTCTCCCGCCCGTCGAAGAGGAAGACGATGTTGTCAACAATCTCACAGAGATGATATCCGATATCACCACTGGCTTCGATGCCGAGGATGGCGTTGTCGGTGGCTTTTTTTTACGCGAGGAAGACGGTGTGCCAGTAGACACTTCATTGGATGCACGGCTCTTTTTCTTTTTCTTCGGCATCTTGAACTATCAAATTCCTCAAAAGGTTCCACGATAAAGTCACTCAATCTTAATAACGTTTCACCATGTCGAATTCATTTTCTAACATCTTTCAAAGTTTAACCAGATATATTTTGAGGTCTGGTTGGAGTGGCAGAACAAGATTGTTGTTGTGATGTGACGGTGATTCAAAATGGATGGTTTCACATCGTGAGATGTTTTGGATTTATTGTTCGATTCGACTCATTCGATCAATTCTCACTTTTGAGTCATGAGTGCATGCTGATCTGCACGAAACATTGACGCACGACCAGTATCTTACTTCCGAAGATCCATGGACGAAGTAACGGCGAGATGCTTCTTTCTTGTTTCTCGCATGCTCTTTTACAACTAACATTGTGGGATGGTATACCACGATGATTTCCAACTGCCGAAAGAGGGAATGTAACCGGCATGGTATCACTTTTTCAACTTAACCGAACAAAACTTCTTCAAGTGCTGCTGGAGAGCACACACTGTTCAATGATTCCGTGACAAAACCGCATCTCGCGGCTTAAGCCCTTGGACTTGCGTGTTACCGAATGCACCGATCCATGGAGCACTACTTGAATTCAAAAGTTGGAATTCGGTGGTAGCGGCAGTAGGGATGGTGGGAGCAAGCCATGTCGATTGTTTCGAACTTCATACAATCATGACCTAGCCAATTGCAAAGTTGGGATTGGGGGACCTATGTCAAACCCGAAGCCAACGTGCCACAAATTGTAATGGATTAGATCGCCTACCATCATTACTACCAATAGAGGTCGAATTCGAAAACGATTAAATAGTGCATAGATGTTGTACCATTAAAAACTATTCGAAGTCAACATATGAAGATGGAGTTTGGAAGATAAAATTCCTGCAAGATTTTCGGAGATAAATTGGTGGTAAGTAATGGATGATATAAATTGTTTTTTTAGTATAAGATGAAATCAGTTGATTAAAATTAAAACCGTCTCGAAAGAATCTACTGGTACAATGAATCATTTTGAGATCGCATGCCTCTTAATGCGTCGTTACACTTGAAAGTTCGGTGAATCCCGTACTAGATACAGTATGCACTTCGTCTGTAGAGACAAATGCGAATTTCTCATTATCCGATTTCCTGAACAGTTTAGCAATTGAGCTTCCAATGCATTCGATGCCTTTTCCAGTACCTTCCACACCCTTTTCAATCAGTTGGTTATCCCTTGTGTAATTCGATGCCGCGAGCCATCTAGATGCAAAAAATTCTCTAGTAGTGTGAGGCAAGATGCCGGTTACTTTGTCGACAGTTTCCTTGCTTCTCTCCAGGTATTTATTTTTGTCCTCGATTTCGTCTGCCTTATCTTGAACGGTTTTTGTCATTTCTCCAAGCGCTCTGGCCGCGTCACCAGCCCCATTCTCCTTTCGAACGGCATACGCCGACCCGAATCCAAGCAATGCAGACAACAATGGACCTCCAAAGATGAAGCCAACGATCGCTCCACCTACACCTGCAGGCTTGACCAAATGTTTCTGTTCCTCTTTGACCAGCCTGGTTATGTCTATCTTTTTCTCCTCTTGATGGCTACTGCTGTCGATCGACTCGGGTTCCACAAGCGGAGTCGTCTGCGACCATTCGTCATCGAGGACTGATTTTTCTTTCAATGTCATTGTGATTTTGTGTTTATTTTTTTTCTGTGTTGATTTGTTCGTTTATCAAATTATTTTTATGAGAGACAATGGTGATCATCATTTGTTTCTTCCGTGGTCCTCGGTTCGGAGAAGTACCGGCAAACATAATTTTTCACCGATTTCTTGCGGTTTTATTTTGTCTGAGCAGTTTTTGGGTGTTATGGTCCCCCACGACTCAATAGTCTCGTTCCTTTGCCTTCGTCAAGTCGATACAACGTAAAGAGGGAAATTCTCATGAAGAATTTTACCATGAGAAGTATGAAGTAAAGTACGGTATCAGTACGAGTACTTGGTCGTACCCGAACAATACATGTCAGTGCTTTCAATTTTCAACGCGTTTGCAATTCGCACTCTCCATTCACGACTAAAAAGTTACTGTTCGTACGATACCGTACCCCAAGTAGGGTACCGTACGAGTACCGTACTTTGTCCACTACGACTTGAATTGAAGTACTCGTACTCGTACTCGTACTGTAGTACTTCATTACAGTACTTGTACCCTACGAAGCTACTTATAGCACGGTACTCGCGTTCACTACTTCAGTTCCTATCATACTATCGTACGAACGGTACAGTACATGAACTCCATGATTGACTTATTTGACTCAATCTGTTCAGGTTTCGTACAGTAGTTTTTCAGTATTTCCGTTCCGTGCTGCTTCGAGTTTACAGTATCCCGTTCTATTAATTCTTCCAAATTTCTCTCAAAAAACTTGAAAAATGGAAAAAACGAAAAAAACTTTGAAGCGCTTCTCGCTCCGGGAGTGCCGGTAATCATCGAATGAGCACCTCAAAAACTATTGATGAGATCGGGCCCACGAATAGCAACATTTTTCCGAAGCCTATGAGCTATAACCATGTCGAATTGGATGACGTCAGGAAGTGCCCGTTTGAAAGCGAAGCAAAATAGCTCGTTTTCACGAAGGGCGCGACAGCGAGCTGCCGTCATTGCTCCGGAGGCAGTGATTCTACAAGAGAGAGTGCCAGCAAGTCGTTTGCCCAGGAAAAAGTTGAGACAAAACGAAGGTGCGTTGCCAAGAAAGTAAACATTGAACTTCAATCTGGCGTTTGAATCTCTAGAAATACTGAGTACCGTTGGATATGAACGAGTTCGTTAGTTCATCTACATTTTCACATGATTGATGTATTGTTTTCATGCAAAGCGTTGCATCTCATTCACGTGACCTGGTGATAAATATTTTTATAAAATGATGCATCTCATCGCATTATTTACAGCAAAAAAGAGGTATTCGAGTGGGAATCCTATTGCACGTCGTGGTGTTGTTGTGTCCATCGGTAGCGCTAATATTGGCGATCAACGTCTGACCCTTGATCAACTTGAATCCGATTGTCCAAGCGACGTGATGGTATCAAAAAATTACTTGGAATGCTGTGCCCAAATCAATCGCCAGCCGATCCCGCAAAGGAAACGGATTCGGGATGCTGGTGCGAGGTATCGTCGTCTTTATTCTGGCCCAGTGAGAAATATAGGCCAAAATTTACAGAGCAAAGACGTTTGCAATAGCAATCAGCGCACTCCACCTCGTGGACACCAGACATCGATTGCCATTCAGTATGTTGGTCAAAACTATTCTCATCATAACATCAACACAATGCAAGGAATTCAAAATGACAATTCAGCACAAGACACCTCCAATAATTTATTAATGCCTCATTTTCCAGCACACACAGCCGACGGAATCTACAGCAACAATCCGGTGCAGGAAGCTTCTGACCAATTGGTAACCCGAAAGTTTTCAGGAAATGGAATAATGAGCCCTAAACATATTAGTCAGTCATCGTCCATTGAGAATTGCAGAGTTGATAACTTCTTTACTCATAGACAATTGCAGATGGATTGGGAGCACCGCCCAGAAATGGATGAAAGTCTTACAAGCCACCCTTGCCAAGCTCTGTTCTCACAGGAAAGAAAGCCAAAATGCATAGGGTTTAAAAGATTTCAAAACCCTGCTATCGATGACAAGGACATTTTCCTCCATTCCGAAAGGGGTGACACTGGTTTTCTTAGGCATGATTCGGAAATTATAGGATACAATGGATTGGATGATTTCAATGTCTCGAACAATGAGATAAGCGATAGTCAACGATCTGTTGAAGGAAAAGGCATCCCTCTATATCAACGTCCAGAATCCAAATTAGATTTTCTTGAGGCTACAGAAGCCAATAACATGTGTGTCTGGAATGATGAGTATGACAACGCGATCTCCGAAGAGCGAAAATTGACATCGAAATTAAAGTTGGATACAGTGGCATCTCAAAATCATCTAGCTCGTCGAATGAGCGACACAACCAATGAATTGATTTCGCTTAGAGGGCCGTCCTTGCGGTCACATGGTGATGTTGGCATCCKTAGATTCAAACGGAGGCGAAAAAAAATCAGTTATGAAGAAAGCTACGAATCATCTTCACAGAGGCAAATTCAACCGAGAGAAATGCCATTGGGACGTGGTACTCGTACTTTTTCAGATAGTCACGACCATCAACTGAAATCGTCACCGAGAGCATTGCGTTTTTTTAACGATGAAAACGAGGTTGATATTATTGGTACTCCGCTGAGTGCATTAAAAGCAACTGAGAGGGAGCTCATGTTTGATACAAATGAAATAGAACACAGAAAAAAATTGTCAGTGCGGATGGAAACAAAAGGTCATCGATCAGTTCAAGCAACCAATACAGACGGAAACAAGTTGATAAAACACCGCTGCAACAGCCATCACCATCTTCGCCCGATACAAATTACTTGAGGGGTACTACATTCGAAAATAAGTCCACGTGGAACTTTTTTCGGTGAGGAAGGACTGGTACCTTCTTTGAAGGGTAGACATCATCTTCTGGGAAGATCAGTCGATACCATGGGAAGTTTTTTCATTATTAGAAGGGGGGGGGGGGCGGGATGTAGGCTCAACAATCTAATTATATGAACAGAATGAAATAGATATAACTGTTATTAATCAACAAATGATGATCTACTTTTTTTGAAGGACACAAACGAGTCGAAAGGCTTGGTCATCATCATTCACATCGACATCGAACTGCAGCGCGCCATGCATCGACATGACCTCAAAACCTGCTATTCGAGCAAGCATATCGATTTCTTGCGATGTGAAATGCCGCATAGGTACCACCTCTCTAACACTCTGAATGGGTGCATCATTTGGATTCTCTCCAGTTAATTCCATAGAGACAGTAAATTGTCGTACCTGCGTTATTGGATCAAAGTCGTCGTCGTCGTCCCCCCAGACAATCTTTAGTTCACCACAGGTACCTCCACTTTCGTCCTCCAAGGGAATTTCCCAGCCGTTTCGGGTGCATTCCACCATGGAAAAGGTCTCCCGGGGATGAGGCAGCTCGAGAATGAAGGTTCCATTCGGTCGAAGGACACGGTTAATGCATTTGAAGCAGGATATCACTTGCTCGTTGGTCGTTAAGTGTTGAAGGGATCCGAGCAAAATCCATGCGCTGTCAAAGAGTTGCGCTTCATCATCACCAGGAAACGAAAAGTTGGTCATGTCGGCTTGGACGTAGTTCAAGGAATTGACCCGGTGTTCGTAAGCGGAATCTTTTGTCACATCGTCGGCTCCATTGATTTCTTCAAAAGTATAATCGTCGCTCTTGAGTTCCTCGGCAGCAATCTCTCTGGCATATTTTATCATGTCCGCAGAATTGTCGATCGCTGTAGCCGATTCAATGTAGGAGGCCCCGAGTGCCTCGATGCAGTGACGCGCCGGTCCTGCTGCCAATTCCAAAACCCGCTTAGGCAGAGCATTGTCCGGATTGAGTTGCCGGTGCTGGTCCATCAAAAAGTCAACTTCCTCTTCGAAATTTCGATATCCAAAAGCCATGTCGTACATGGAAGGCTTCGAATATATTTCTCCGCTATTGTTGTCGTTTTGTGTGTTGCTATCGGCTGCATTCCTGGGCGGTTCTGTTTTTTTCTCGGCTGAGGCTGCTCCAAAGCCTTTCGCCGCTATCATGGATCGCCTTCGTCCTTCGAATGGACGAGAAGTTGTCGAGAACCCGTGTACAGGAGCATTGGACGACAACGACAACGCTAGCGCTACCAATAAGAAACGTCGTAGGGTTGGTGACGGAGACGATATACGCGACATCTGCTGATTCTGAAAAAAAGTATCAAGTTGAGTATTGAACTCTGATTTCTATTATGTATCTGCGTTGAACAGACGATAACTTGATTTCCTTTTTTCGGCTTTAACTAAAGAACAACGATAAGGAATGAGTTTAAGCATCGAGGGAGGCCAAACAGTCTGTAGACGAGATTGCAAGCACTCGTACTTTTGGAACACCGGATAGGTACCGGTGCCCCACAGAACAGAGGAGGAGAAAATAACTTACGATGAAACATCATGTTTTATGATGCTTTATTGGGTTATGGGCAAGGTCGAATGAATCATCAGGACTCCGAAAAGACAAAATTACATAAGGGGAATGTTCTGAAGATTATATTTCAAACAAATTTAAACTCCCCCAAAACATGTTTCAACTCAAAAAACAGGAAGAATAAAAATTGAAAATAGAATCGTTTTTCGCTCATTCATGTCTTCAAGTTTGAAAATTGGAACAGACGTCATCTACTTGTTACGACTACGAATGAGGTGTGAAGCAGAGGGTTAGTGCGTAGAAACATGAACAGCGTTTCCCACGACTCTGGCTGGTTAGTAGTACTCGTACTCGTCCATGGTACAGTACGCTGGGGACACGTATGAGATTGAAAAGTGAAAAAAGGATTTAGACACTTGTTAAATCCGTATCCACAGTTACGATACGAACTCGTAGGTGCTTTCGTACGCAAAAAATCGACGTAATCGTCGTAGCACGAATTCAAAGATGCTATATCAGCCCTATATGTAACGAGCAACGATCGATCTCAATACAATTGCTCAAACAATTTGAAACCGAGTGCCTGAAACAACAACCTTGATTTTGGTGACGGAAACATAGGAGCTCAATCGACCCGTGGACGCAGGGCCAAAAAAAGGATTCAAAGAGGAGAAAATTTGTTTCGATATCATAGGGGAGTTCTTTCGGTGGCAGTCTACACAGACGAGAAACCCCCGATCGGCAGAAATTAAATTTTCATACTTTCTTTCAAAGCCTTATTGCCGCAAAAAGTCGCAAGGAGAATCAAAAGGATTGAAAAAAGTTCGCGTCTGAATCTCATCCGGGTTCGAACCTGTCAACTCCGACCATCCTATTCATCGGAAATTTGCAACATACTACCATATCAGATTGCATCCTTGTGCAATTGCTGCGATTGATTTCGAGCTTCGCATATCTACACACCAACATAACTCGAGAACGCGATGATGTCGTCTCCTGCTAATCGTTGCGCCACGTTTCTGTTGCTGGTGTCAGTAATGGCGATCATGCATACACCCTCGCAGACTTTCTGCACTGCGGGTTGGATCGATCCCGATACGCCTAGTGATGTTCTGACAACACAACCGTTTACAGCGATACCCGGAAAGATTCCATCCCCCACGAAGGTGACCAAAAAGCTTAGGAAAGGCGAAACAGCGTCTCCAACCGGAAGCACTCCTAGACCCTCGGCATCGCCAACGCAAGCTCCCTCTTCGTTTCCCACTAGCACGCCAGATTCTCATGAGCTAGTCTTTTCGGAAGAATTCAACGTCCCCGGACGACATTTTGGAGATGGAAACGATCCTCGATGGACCGCACTGGAGAAGAATGATTATACCAACGATGCTCTACATTATTATGCCGCCTCGAATGCTGTCACCGACGAAAATGGAGAACTAATAATTACCACCGAAGCCGTCGATACGGATATAATAACGCAAGACGACGATCATCCAAAGAAGAAGATTAGAAAAACGAAACATTTCAAATCGGCCATGCTGCAAACCTGGAACAAATTTTGTTTTACGGGTGGTATCGTTGAAGCCCAGGTAACGCTGCCGGGCAAAAGCAATATTGGTGGATTGTGGCCGGCCTTTTGGTTGCTGGGAAACTTGGCCCGCCATACGTACGTCGGTAGTTCCCAGCATGTTTGGCCTTGGTCTTCAAACCTTTGTACCGAAAAGGCTTTCAGCGCGCAGCACATTTCGGCCTGTAGTGAAGTGGCGCATTTCGGATTGGAAAAAGGAGTCGGACGAGGGTCTCCCGAAATCGATATTTTCGAGGTCCAGCCGGGCAAGATCAAGGCTAATACCGGCGTGTTTTTGGAATCTTCCGTCGGGCAACCTTTCATGTCGGCATCTTTTCAGGTGGCACCCGGTAGGCCAGATCAGAGACCAGGAGGAGGTTATTGGCCCGGCCCCGGTCAGTGGTACGATGGTCTCGTTGGTGGGAAAAACACGTCGCTGAATATTAATTTTTACGGAAATTACAATCACTTCAAGGATGATCCGCATCCTGAAAAATCTGATTATTGGAGCGACGCTGTCAGTTTCAATCGGCAACTAGAAGAAAAGCATTTCAATAGCTCTCACGTGTACAGACTTGAATGGGATGTTCCCACAGAAGACAAAGACGGCTATCTCCATTGGTTCCTGGATGGAGACCTAGTTTTAGCTATCAACGGCACCGGAATTAGAGAGGGTGGCACAGGTTCAGAAGTTTCTACGGAACCCATGTACATTCTCTTGAATACTGCTGTATCTTCCCAGTGGGGTTTCCCGACAAAGTGCCCCGCCAACTGCGAGTGTGATGAGTTCGACTGCAACTCGAAGGTCTACGCAGATCGATGTGGATTTAGCGATGGATTTTGCGACATGATGACAAAAGGAAAGGAGCCACCAAAATACAAGATCGACTGGGTTCGAGTTTATCAAGATCCTACCAAGAATGAACAAAAGGTTGGCTGTTCCACACCCGAACGTCCAACACGCCAATATATTGAGGCCCACGAAAAATTGTATAAAACAGATCTAGACGAACATCCTCTGAAACCCATTCAAGTTGGGCGGGGTACCTGCAATCCTTTAGCAACTGATATCTCGGCACAGGCATGTGGTGGCGAAGAGCGAGGTCGTTGCACAAAAGGAAATGTCTGTGAGTGTAGAGAAGGTTGGGTCGGACCACACTGTTTGGCCGCTGATGGATATGATGATATTGACTGGGATCCACCAGACAAGCTGTCCGATGTTGGGTTCGATCCTCCAAAGTTTGTATTGAACGGTTTGGCTGTAGGGTTGTCGATTGTCGCGCTCGGGATCATGGTTTCTGCAATATTCAGACGCCAGCTCCTCGAGGGCTGGACTCCTATTCCAGAAGTAGAAGTGAAGTATTTATCGCGTCAATCCAACAAGCCGTGATGAAATAATAATTTATTAATATTGTAGCCGTCATAAGATTTATAAGCGGTACAAGTTTCTATATTCCACGTGTTCTGTCGAAGGTTGAAAACTATTATCTTTATGCTCTTTCAATACTACCAGTAGAATAGTGCCGAGAGAATTTTCATGTTTCTTGTGTGAATATTGAGTGTGGTCTATGGTTATTGCATCGTACAAAATTACGATTGTAGTGCTGCAAAACGTGATTAAAGTTCACCTACAATTTTGTTGCCACCGGCACCAGCACCGCCACCGCCAAGCATTCCAAGTCCTTCCTTCACAGTTTTTCTCCACTTAATCGGATCACTCAAAACATCTTCTAGCTCGGACGTGTCGAAAGATCCCAGCAATTGCTGCATCATGGGATCGGCGGCGCCTTCTCCAATGAACATTTGTCGCACGCTTTCGATATCTTCGTCACTCAGTTCTTTGAGAAGGTCTCCCATCATGTCATTGAGTGCGTCAGGGTTGTTGTACATTTGCTGCGCCGCTTTCATTCCTTCTGCTGCCTGTGCCATCATCTCTGGGTCCGCAAACAGTTTTTGCATTTGATCCATGCTTTCCTTCATTTTCTGTTCAAAGTATTCGGGATCCGCCTTGAACTTTGCGAGTTCTTCGGGGGTAACCGCGCCACTCTGTTCCAACGACTGGAGAATTTCGTCCTGGTGCCCCATCATGTTTGCCAACATGTCATCTCCTCCAAACATCTCCATGGCTTCCTGCATCTGAGCGGCCAAATCCTCTGGGGACATTTCTGCCATCATTTTCATAACTTCGTCCAATTCTGGCAAGTCTCCCATGTCTTCTGGGTTCAGACCCATGGCCTTCATAATGTCGGCCATGTCGCCTCCGGCGGCAGCGCCACCCTTTTTGGCCTGTTCATTGAGCTCTTGGAAAGAGGATCCGCGTTGCTTCTTGTTAGTGAAGGCTTGTCCACTGACAGACTGCTCCCAAGAACAATGCGATTTATGAAATGCGGTCGAAGGCGATCGAAAGAATTCGGATTCGGTCAGCGAAGTATTTCAAAACGCAAAAGGAAGGAATGCTGCTGAACCTTCATACGACAGCGACAACGACGACAACGACGACTAAGCAAACACGACGAAGTCGATCATTTGACCCTTATTGACTCACCGACACAGCCAGTGCCGAGAAAGAAAAGAAAGTGGAAACAATGGAAAACTTCATGGTTGGATCGATATGGTGATGTGGTCACAGTGGCGCTTTTCGAAAATGTGTGGGGTGGTCGACCGAGAGGGTTTCGAAGGGTGTTGTCGGCCGGGGCTTCACGCAATCTGCCCCCGGGGTGGCCAAGTCCTGCCCTCGACTCGCAAATCTTCCTCCCGAGACGACGGGTTCTTGTTCTTGTTTACGGTATCCATGTACCGTACGTACGGTATGGCACGAAAACCAACGGAGTTCGAAGGAAAAATTACGTAATTTTCCACAAGAGTGATGACGGTTCGTTCCACGTGGCTTTCATGATGCAAACAAGCACGTTTGAGAAAATAGTTCGGGCCGGGGTACGGTAAAGTACTACTCGTACGGTATGTACGGTATTACAAGCAGATATTAAATCATACGTATACTATGTATGTATCATACTCTACGATGAATACGTAATAGGTGCGACCCCCGATGTACCATACTCCACCCTCTCGGAAGCAATACCGGTCCAACAACTGTTTGGTACCGTACGGTACGTTGCATGACGGAACGAGAAGCACCGCATCCACTAGAATTTGTGCATTCCTTCCTGGCTACAAGACGATGCAACGGGTTCCGTKCACCGGAACGCTGGTTCGAAGAAGTCTATCGACGATCCAAGAAGAGCTCTCGCAACCCGTGTTTGTTCCGGCATCGCTGGATGGAAACGATGCGAYGATCCAAACCGAGAGAGTGGTTCGCAAGGTTCGATTCCATCCGATCGATGGGTTTGTGGAGCGTCGCCGACAAAACAATGAGACGGAACGGAACCAGAACAGAGGACGGGAGTCTGTCGTCCGCGCGTTTGTCTGCCGTTGGTCTCGTCTCTTCGGCTCGCCTCGCCCCGCCTTCCGACCACAACCGACCCCCCCATCCGACAGCGCCGTTTCCCCGACTCGGGTACACCGCACCGCACCGCGAACAGCGCCCGTCCGTCACCCACCCGCAGAACCGCTCCCGCTGGTTTCGCTGCAAGGGCTGCCGTCCGTGCCCGCGGTCAGTGCTGCGATGCGGGCGCAGAGGTCTTCGTTCGCCGGGCATTCGATCCCCGTCTTGCGCCCCTTTCGCACCACGTAGCCGTTCAGGTGGTCGATCTCCGTTGGCTGTGCGTTTCCCCCGTGGATGTCTTGGTACATGGACGACCTGTTGTGCTGGGTCGCCAGGATCGTTTCGGTCACAAAGGTTCGCATCTCGTCGACCGAGGGGATTCCGCGGTTGTCGTCGTCCTCGCTGCTGCTGCTGCCGCCCGTCGCCTTTGCCTTCGCTTCCGTGGGAAAATCCGATCCGTGCCGGAGGGTCTCGTCGCTTCCGTTTGCCCCGGTGGTCCCCGCTTTCGCTGCGACAAAGGCGACCTCCGCCAGGATTTCTTCCCGCAGTTGAGGAAAGGACGGTTCCATCAAGAGCTCCCCGTTCGTGCACCGAAAGATGGAGGTCAGCGGGTTGATGACGCAGTTGGCGGCCAGCTTGTTCCACAGGACGGCGTTCATTTCCCGCGGGGAGAGCGCCTGGCACCGGAGCCCCGCCTCGTTCCAGGCCCGGACGGTGCGTTCGGTGGTTTCGGTTGCTCCGGGCGGGTCCTCTAGAAAGGTCGTTCCGACCCCCGCGTGGACGAGCTCGTTCGGTCCCGCGAAAAAGGCCCCGTGGGTGGTCGTTGCCAGGGAGAGGCGCACCGCACCGCTGCCGTCCGCGGCCCCGGGCAGGAGATCGGCGAGCTCGTCGCGGACCGAAAGGGCCCCGTTGCACAAGAGAACGATCCGGGCGGGGGCCGCCGCCTCTGGCGGCGGGGGATCGCCGCTTTGGGGCTCGGCGGGGGGAACGACCAACCGGTCGAGGACGCTCTCCACCGCCTTCCTCGCCTGGTGGGCCTTGGTCGCCACGAGGAGCGTCCGGATCCGCTCGGGCTTTGGCCCTTGCGGTGGGGCGTCGCCGCCGTCCCCGAGGAACTGCACGGGGAGGAACAGGCGCTCCTTGCCTCCCGGCGCCTGCCGGTTGTTCCACGCCACCTCGAGCTCGTGGGAATGGCGAATCGGCACCGGACCGGTCCGAAGGGTGTTGCCGTCGTTGTCGCTGTCGCCGCAACCGCCATCGTTCGCCGCCCCGGCCGCCGCCGACACCCGGTTTCGGTTTCGCTCGTGGTCTCTCAGCAGCAGCGCGATTGGATACGAGGGAAACCTCGATCGAATGGACGCCGTCCACAAGACACCGATGGATCCGGCTCCCAGCACGTGGATGGGTTCGTGGATCATGCTGGGGTCACCCTATCATCCGGTCGCGTTTGTTGTAACACCACTACGTTTTTGTCGCTTCGGAAGCGTCCACCATGGCCGAATCGGAACCAAAGCGTCCGTGACGAGTGACAAAAGATGTGTCTGACACCTGCGTATGGTACCGTACCTGGTACGAGTACGTACGTACCCTAGCATTGCTACGGGAAGAGTACGTACTCGTAGTGGAAGGTGGAAGGCTCGTACCAAAACGCTACAGTACCGGTACTTACATACCTACGTACAGTACTTCCACAAATGCGAGTGTTGAGTCCCGTGTATCCCCGGGACGGCCCGGTCGTGCCGACGCGCTTGTCGTGTTGTCGCTTGCGGACGGATCGGTTGGTTTTCTCGCAAATGACACCAACGGTTCGTGTTTTCTCCCCTTGCGTCCCGACGGTTCGGGCACTTTCCGTTTTTTTGAACAGAGCAAAACCGACGGGTTCGGTTGCTTTTTTTGTTTTCAAGAGACCGGCCAACCGTGTCTTCCGTTGTTCGATTGGTGGAGTTCCCCACTCGTGTTCGTGCCGATGATAGAAACCGCTACGATGGCTATCGTAAGTGTTTCTACTCGGAAGCACGCAATGGCAACAGAACAATACCTGGTACCCTACCACGAGTACGAGTACTACCGTTCTGGTACTAACTCGTACCGGTAAGCAGCACACATCTAACTGCTACAAGGTTCCTTGTACGGTACAGTACCACGTATCTTAACAGGTACTCGCATCCTTTTAAATTTTTGGTTACGGCGGCTACTCCGCACGGTATCAAAAATTTGACAATCGAAGCCATTCGTTTGCCGGGCCTTTCCACTCCACTCCACTCCACTCCACTCCACTCCACCACAGCAAGCAACAACTCGTCGTTGACGTCCCGCGAGTCCGCAAAGCACCACACCGTTGCAAAGCAATACTTTGATCGAACGCGATTCGTTCCCAGCGCAACAGGTTTCTCAACGATCGACCCCGGAACACCTTTGACCGGAACACGCCGTCGCCGCCGTTCGAAACGAAACGAAACGAAACCAAACCAAACCAATGAGTCCGATTGCGAGTGCGAGTGCGAGTTCGGGCACGGGTCCCGGCGATGCCGCCGCCTGGGCATCTCCCCATAGACGCCGGATCCGGCCGCGGCCACGAGATCCCTCCCGGAGCGGGTCCCGCGGGCCCGGCCTAGTAGTGTCGGTGGTCCTTTTTCTGCTGGCCCTGTCGCGGCTGCAAGGGGCCGCCGGGGAGCAGCCGTCCCCGCGAAGCAGGCACCCATCGACCGGGTGCATTTCCTCGGGAACCGAGCTGCTGCGGGCCGTCACTGCGTACTACGATCCGGAGGGGCAGGCGGTGGATTCCTACGGGACCCCCATCGAGGACTGGTGCCTCTCGCCGAGCGTCCTGGACGCCTTGTACCGGGAGGGCAGCGACCTGGAGACCCGCTTTTCCGCCACCTGGGAGGGCATTGTCGATTCGCACGGCGAAACCTTCGCCGGAGGCCTCACGGAAGGCTCGCTGGCTCTGGCGTGGCTGGGGGCTTCCACGAACGAGAACCACGTGTGCGCGGATCTGTGCGCTCCCGCCGGGGAGGACGTACGAGTACCAGTACCAGTACCAGTACCCTTCGATCCGGAGGAAGACGGAATCCGGGACGAAGACGAAGCCGTTGGGAACGACCCGCACGAAGATGCGGCGAGCGACAACGACCGCGACCAGGAAGAACCTCCGTCTCTTTCCGCTTCGGCAACCACGAKAAGCACGACTACCACGAGCATGCTGGTTCGACTCATTCCCGTGAAACTGGTGGCGGTTCTTTCGCTGATGTGCCTGGCTCTTGGCCTGCGACAAATGTATTTTTCGGTCGATAGCGACAGCCGCTGTTGGTGTTGCTGCAAGTGGTTCAGCTCGGTCTTTGGTTCGAGGTACGCTTCCTACGAAGGCATCGATCCGTCGGACGTTTCCGAACACCAGAAAAACGTCGAATTCGAGCTCTTGGAGCTGGCTGCCGAGCTGGATGCCGAGGTGGTCATATCCTAACACCAACGAATCCAACCAAACAAAAAAGGTTTTCTCTCCTGCAGCCGTGGCGACCGTAGAACAACGCGATGAGGCGCACGGAGTTCACTCTCTATCTAGGGCAAAGAGATGCACCTGGATATGGTGGAACATTTGATGAGAAAGAATCCTGTGCGGCGGAAAGAGATTGGGGTTCTACTCAATGAACCATGGTTCCGACATTTTTGTGCGGCTGCTGGATTTTGGTGCGATTTCATTCCATTCCATTCGATTCGATTCAATTTGATTCGGTGCACTCTTGAACACAATCTGTCTGTCGTTGGTCACACGATCTCCCAAGAAACAGAACACCAGCTTGCGACCGATGCGCCGCTCGACCCGCCAATTCCTGTTATTGAGAAAGATACGCCGGAGAAAGTTGCTTGGTGATCTCAGTACCTCCGCGACGAAGAAGGATGGTGTCGAAGTACGATACAGGCACGTGACACATTCCTTCATTGTACTAATACAGTCATGGCTGCTTTGATCTTGTAAATTAAATGAATTTATCTACCGTTCAGCACTGGAAATTGCGCAGTGATCATTCGATTGAATACCGTAGTACAATGTGTTCCTATCTGATATGGTTGGAGGAAGCTGAAAGCGATGTGCTGTTTCACTGTACCATACCGTACCATACCGAAAACACGTGAACCGAGATGTTGCAGATCGATGCGATGGCGTCGGAATCTTTCCGTCGGATTCGTACTGGTACCGATGGTACGTATTTGCATACGTACTTTGTAGCAACAAAAATCTTGGGTGATGGGATTTGGCAAATTTCCAGAGTACGATACGTATCCAACACCCCTATTCATGATTGTTGTTTACTACAGTACTACTATTTGGATACAACGTACTCTGCTCTGCTCTCGCACCACCACCCACCACTCCGGGCCACAGACCGTCCGACACAGCCACCCATGTCCGATTCCTCGTCCTCTGCCTCCTCCTCCTCGTCGTCGGTCGCATCCTCCCGTGCAGGGGACGAAGGGACCGGCGTCCTCGACGACCTGCTGCTCGGCCCGGAACGCACACGCACACGCACACGCACCGATCGGAGGGCATCGTCGGGGCAGGGGGTCCCGTGTCCTTGCAGCCTTTCCATCGGCAGCACAAGCACAAGCACGCGGACCGAGCGGGTCCGCACGCGGAAGGTGGGGCGAGGGTCGTTCGCCGCCGGAATCGAGGAGGCAGGCCCCAGCAGCAACAAACACAAACACAAACACAAACACAGGGGCAACCACCACCAACCCAGACACGGTGAAAGCGACGGCCACAAACTCGTTGCGAAACGAAGGTACGAATCCCCAACCAACCACGACGCGCTTTCGTCCCAATGGTCTCTCCGGCAGCAAGGAATGCGGCCGAGGGAGCCCAAGACGGAGCTGGAAGCGGCCGTCCTCGCGGATTGCGTCGCGAACCACTTCTTGCTGGCCGCCGGTGCCGAGCAAAACAGCGAAGCGTCCTCCGAGCCGATGGCCGGGGCCATCGCGTCGAGGTTCGAAAAGGCGACCTTCCGAAAGAACGAAATCATCTTCCGGGAGGGAGACGCTGCCGACCACTTGTACGTTCTGTACCGGGGAGAAGTTCTGGTCCGCACCCAACACGAAGAGGACGACGCATCCCCACCGGGCGACGACGAAAAGGACTACAGCGACGATGGCGACGACGGAAGCAACGGCTACAAAATCTTGGGAGAACTCGAGCTGCTGACCAACTCCCCCTTCTACAGAGCCACCGCAAAGGCAACCTCGGATTCGTGCGTGCTCTTCCGTCTGGGCGCGAGTGATTTCCAGAGCTACTTTTTGCCGCGGCCCCCGGGCCGGACGCCACCGATCCCTGCGTCATCGGAAGGACCGACAGAGCACGAAGAAAAACGCCTCTTTGGGATGCTGCGGGAGGCCATGCCGTTCGAACTGGCGTCGTATTTCTTTCCAAAAGACGACCAAGACCACGACTGCCACGTTCGGCTCTGGAAGCGGCTCTTGTCCGAGCGCAGGGTTCGCAATTTCCAAAAGGGAGACGTTCTCGTACACAAGAGCACGCCGGTAAAAGCCCTGGTGCTGATCTCGGACGGCCTGGTGAGAGCGACCGAAAACTCTGCGGGGGGACGGTCCTACGAAGACCTGCCGATCGGTCCCGGAAAGGCCCGGACTTGTTTCGGCTGGCAATCGGTGCTCCACACGGCCGGGACGGGAGCGACCAACGAGGCTTCGAGCTCAAGCTCGGCTCCGGACGCCCTTCCGGCCGAGACATGGACGGATGGTGGTGACGCGGCAACGGAACACGACCGGGGGCACAGAGACCAAGACAGCAGCAGAATGAGGGGAACGATAGTGGCAGAGACGGATGGCCAGGCCGTTGTCATTTCGAAAAAATCCTTTGAGAAAATATTCTGTCACATCAGCTACAACCACGAACGCGGCGACCGCCACCACGGGAACCGCTCTCTGTTGATGGACGTGGCGGAACTTCGCCGGAGGCAATGGAAAAGGACCCAGCTGCGGCAAATCATGGTCTTCAAGGACAGCGCGCTGGACAACACCCAGGTCAATGGATTGGTCGACCTGATGCACCACTGCGAATACGGACGAGAGGAGGCCATCATAAAGGCGGGACAAAAGGTGGAGGCCGCAATGTATTTTGTTCGGGAAGGAAGCGTCCGGCTGGAACTCAACAAGGGCAGAGAGAAAAAAACGATCGAAAAAGGCGGATACTTTGGGGAAAAGAACATGCTGCTGGATCAAAACAAGAACGACAACGAGAAACACTATCGGAAGCGATCCGTGTTGTCGGCCATCTCGTCGGCCGCCGCGACCAAAGTCGATGTGTTGTACCTGGAGGAGTGCCGCAAAGTCGTCAACACGAGGATACTTGGCCTGGGAGAGGACACCGCGGTGAGCACGATCGACAGCTCCGTCCAGTGGGCGGATATACAACGCCACAAGCTCATTGGGACCGGGAGTTTTGGGCAAGTTTGGTTGGTCGGCAGAGATGCCTGCGGACCTCACGGTGGCAACGACGAGACGGTGGGTGCGTCGGATCCAGAACCGAAACGGCAATTCTTTGCACTAAAAGTCCAAGCCAAATTCGCTGTGGTGCAATCGAACGACGCAGACCGTTTGATTGCGGAACGAAACATCATGGCATCCCTCCACTCGCCCTTTATCATGCGACTCTTCAACGCGTTTCAGGACGACTACCGCCTCTTCATGGTTACGTCGTTGCTGCCCGGTGGCGAACTCGAATCCATCGTTCCAGAAAACGGTTTTTCCGAATCCACTGCACGCTTCTATGCAGCCGGCATCCTCGAGGGTCTGACCTACATGCACCGAAAACACATTATTCACAGAGACGTCAAACCAGAAAACATCTTGCTCAACGCCAAGGGTTATCCGGTATTGATTGACTTCGGATTCGGTAAGTACTGATGCATCTGGCTGCAAACAAAGCACTTTGGTATCGGTTCGGACTCATTACTCACAGTAGTATTCAAAACCCAATCGGAATCCGATTTTTGGTAATAGCGAAATACGTACCAGAGAAGACGTATACGTTTTGCGGGTCACCGATGTTCATGGCTCCGGAGACAATTTTGTACCAGGGGCAAAACAAAGGAGTGGACCATTGGTCTTGGGCGGTGCTTGTATACCGCCTGGTCACCGGAACCTATCCCTTCTACGAGAAAGGAATGGACGAGATGGCCCTCTACAAACGCATTTGCAAGGGCACCTTTAAGGTGACCGGCGCCATGTCSGTAGACTTTCGAATGCTCGCCATCGCCGTGCTGTATCCGGATCCCACGGAACGACTCGGATCGCGCGCCAACGGATGGCGGGACATCTTCGACGCGCCGTGGTTTGCGAACTCGCTGTCCTCCCTGGATCTGAAAAAACTGCGGAAACAAGCGCTGCCCGCCCCTCTGTTGCCGGACGGTGCCGAAAGCGGCCAGCCCGGCGAGCTCGAAGCCTTTGTCCACCAGTCGAGCAGCGCGTTCGACGACTTGTTCGACAACGACGTGTGTGGGAAGATCGCAGACAACCAACAACACATCTTCGGCTCGTTTGGGTCGTACRTGAGCAGTCCAATCGGCAACCCAATAACCTAGTAGTCGCAAAGCCAGCACCGCATCTAGCAAGTCATCCTACTGGCATGGCACTCACTGCTTTTCATGATACTTGCACCAAACTGCTGATATCATCGTTCCACTCACGGTGACCTGGGTTTGAAACTTCTTCTTAATGTTGTTGTTGTTTGGTGATGGCTGAGCTTTCTTGCTCGTAGTACTAACAGTAGTAGTAATACCTTCCAGTAATACTAGTACTACTAGTAAAGGTGGCAACAGTAATATTAGTAGTTTTCATTTAGTATGGAAATAAGTTATAACTAAGGAACTTCATTAAGGTGTTACTACTTTTAGCATGCTACTACGATACTAGCGGTACCGTTACGATGATCGTAGTAATACTATTATTCGTCGTACACCACGTACTGCTCCTAGACTACGAAGTTGGTAAAAGAGGGGTACGTACGTACTTCTACTTACCTTTAGGACTTCGAATATGGTAACCCTAACCTTGATACCTAGTATGACTGGGACGATCATCATTTACTATTTTACCACGCCGGGCTTGCTACCAGGCAATACTCTGGCAATAGGAATGGTAACTTGCTGGCGCTCTAAACACAGAATTCATTCACGACACGTATTGCTTACAAGAGGACTGAAAATTTGGGTAGGGGGATTAGAAAATCTAATTAATACCAAACATTTTTATGGTAAAATGGTAGCTACCAGAATTGCTACCAGATTGCTACCAGATTGCTACCAGATGGTAGCAATATGGTAGCAATTCTGGTAGAGATAGTTTCTTGCAGGTTCCCGGGACTGCAACGTGTTAAGGGGTTAACGTTCCGAATGTTAGTAGTGTTAACTTGATCTATTTCGATGGATCCTAGTACAAAGCTGTGTAGAAAATCCTGTACAAACTCGTGGATCAAGGGGGGAACCCTTGCCATCAGTCCGGGAGCAAAAATTCCTTTATTTATGCTCAACTTTTATGTGAATTAAGTGTTTTACCACGAACGTTAGCAGAACAGTTACCAGAATCTGGTAGCATTTATGGTAGCAATCCTGGAAAATTACCAGTTACCATAATTCCTACCAGATTGCTACCAGAAACGCTACCAGATTGCTAGTACCATAAATGCTACCAGATTGCTACCAGAAACGCTACCATAATATATGCCGCGCTACCAGAAATTTTTTCGAACTTCCCAGCCCCCCCCCCCTTGAGTATCGAATTTCATAATTAGTTTGTGTGACTGTTCAAACGGGTCTATGTAGTGTCTCACGTGGCGTCTACTAATTCCATTCCAGTAACGGGTCTAGTAGCAAAGGTACGTGGTAAAATCTTCAATGATGATCGTCCCTGTGTGGAGTGAGGAGTGCCTCGGCAGTTTCCAATGGATTCAAAATCGGAAGGTAGATACGGTCCTTCGGTAGTACGAGGATGTACGTACCGTATCAGATGCTGTACATTGTACTTTGTACTACTAATCCTTACTTTACCCGTACTCGTACCGGTACGTATCGTACAACTTGCCACTTGCCACTCGGCACTCGGCACTCGGTACGATAGCAATCGAATGACGAGAGAGCAATGACGCACACAACACTTAAAACTTGTTGACACCCGTGTTTTTTTTTAATTCTCCACCCTTGACTAGTTGACACCAACATGAGAATCAAAATGCCCGACCACAGGCTCGATTTGCCAAATGTGCCTTCTTCAGTGACTCACAGCAATTTTGAGTCGAATGGAATGAACCGAATCAATCCACCAACATCAGCACCAACAGTTGCATTCCCATCTAACGTGTAARAAGAAGGAGTTCCCGTCAGAGTAGCATCGGTCGGGTTCAGCACATGTTTTGAAGCGTTGTAAGTGCGTTCAATACCGAAAAGTGTGAGYGTGAATACGAGAGCGAACAAAAATACCCGTCACAACGCGCCCGGAGCAAATCAAAAAAGGGAGGAGTGCAGGGAAGGTCAAGGACACACAGCAGCAAGAACTGTAACAGCAACAGTACTGCAACAACAATATTGTAACAATGACAGGCGTCCGTCGTTCGAAGACGAAACGAGAGAGGACGGCGACGTTTCTAGTGCTCGGTGGCATCGGTCTTCTGGGCAACCTGACAAATTCGGGGGTGCGATGTTTTGCCATCGGCAACAATGAGAAGCACCACATGCGGCACCATCCGAACAGTTCGACGAATGCGCCACTCTCGAAAAGGAGACGGCAGAACAGCATCATCAACAACAGCAACAATCTATACCATTCGAAATCCCTGGCGAATCCGAGTGTTGTCGGGCACACCAATGGCCACGACGACGGCATGTACCCTTGCCGCGGAGGCCACGCGCTTCGAGCGACGAGGCAGGCGGGAAGCGCCGACGGAGAAAACATCCCGGACGCTTCTGCGATGGATGGAGCCAAAAAGCCCGAGCAGGGCCTCTGGCCGTGCATGGACAAAATGGACAAGGAGCTCATCAAAATCTCCCTGCCCGTCATTGGCAACTACGCGATCGGACCGCTGATAGGCGCCGTCGATTTGTTCTGGGTCAACCGAATGGGGAACGCCCTAGCCGTTGCGGGGCAGGCCGCGGCCAACCAGGTCTTCTCGTCTGCCTTTTGGTTTGTTTCCTTCTTGCCCAGCGTGACCGCCACCCTGGTCGCCAAGCAGCACGCCAAGGGAAACAAGGAGGCGACGCAGGACGCCATCTGCCAGGCCCTTTTTGTGGGATTTTTCATCGCCCTGATCGGAACCCCCGCMATGTTTTTCAGAGCCGACGGAGCCCTGTCGTCCGTCCTCCCGAAGGGGGCACCGGCCATGGCCTATGCCAAGCCCTACCTGATGATTCGAGCCTTTGCGTTCCTGCCGTCGCTGATTTCCCTGGTCGGCTTTAGCGCCTTTCGGGGGATCCTGGACACCAAGACCCCCGTGAAGATCAGCGCGTTTGCCAACGTGTTCAACGCCCTGTTGGACCCCATAATGATCTTCACCCTGGCCATGGGCGTCCCGGGGGCCGCCATGGCCACGCTGGCCGCCGAGGTCATCTCGGCGCTGATTTATCTCGGGCTCCTGCGGAAAAAGCAGTTGATATCCTGGGGGAAACTGGTGCGGCCCCCGTCGTGGGCCAGCCTCAAGCCGCTGGTCAAGGGGGGTGCCGCGCTGCAGCTGCGCAATTTGTCGCTCAACCTCACCTTCCTGGCGGTGGCCCGGGTGACGCAGTCCATCGACCAGAGCGGGGTCGCCGCGGCGGCGCACGCCATGGCGATCCAGACCTTTCAGATCGGAGGGATCGTCCTGCTGGCCCTGTCGACGGTGGCGCAGATCATGGTCCCCAACGCGATGGTCGAGCGCGTCGACGAGGAAACCAAGGCCAGCGTCGGTGGATTGATGCACGCCAAGGCCACCGCCAACCGGTTGATGGGATGGGGCTTTGTGCTGGGGTGTGCCCTGGGGTCGCTCCAGATACTGCTGCTGCCGGCCATGTTCAAGGCGACCCCGCTGCAGGAGGTCCGGGACGCGGCCAAGCTCCCCGCCGTCATTGCGAGCGTCCTGCAGATCATCAACGGACTCGTCTTCATCGGGGAAGGAATCATGATCGGGACGGGGTCCTTTCTGCAGCTGTCCCTGAGCACCCTGACGGCCACGCTGGGGTGCCTCTGGGCCCTCTGGTTCTTTCCACCAAAGGTGGGACTCACGGGCGTCTGGTTGGGTTTCGGCGTCTTCAACCTCATCCGACTGGCGGGGGTCTACATTCATCAAAAAATCAATGGACCTCTGTCTCTGCGAAAAATTGCAGCGAAGGTCAAGACGACCTAGAATCTCAATCTTGCCCTATCCTAGAACTCTCTTAAGTTTGGTTATTAAAGCTATTTACAATCATTCTCTATTTCAAAATGTATTTTTTGCCTGCTATTCATCTTGCCACCCTTGGCAATTACTGAATTAGGATTCTAGCCTTCGCTGGGACCTGCTAGACCGCGGATGATTGCTACTAGCATGGCTGTTTTCTTTCTCGTGTATCGATTTGTCACTATTGCCGCGTATGCTGTGCTCACGAATTGACATGCCCCGCATTGACATGTCCCGCATTGATCGATCGCGTGATTTGTACTGGGAAGACCCGGTAGGGGCACGCTGAGATGAGGTCCGGGAAGACCTCATGGATTTACTCCGAGATTGAGTCATATCGGATGTGGTCGACGTGTGAAGTGAGTTGATGTAGGAAACCGGCCCGCTTCTTTTCCTTCGATCATCCTCTTCCTTCTTTTTATTTTGGTCGTCTCGTCTGCTCCTGCGTTCTAGTTCCAACCTTTCTTTGTACTTCGCCAGTTTGCGGTATAACTTGTCATTTTCCTCTTGAACATCTTTCATTTTTGAGACGAGTTCTTCGTTCCTTTGACGCTCAGTTGTTAGTTTTTGGTTCACTGCCTCAATCTCCTCGGCATTCTTTAATTTTTGAGAGTTTTCCTCATTCTCGTTGTGTTCATGAATTTGTGCGAGGCTACACATATCTGCAAACAAGTCTTCGAGATTGTCTTGCAATTGATGGTTTGTGTCTTCCATTCGAGAAATGGTATCCTCTTTTTCTTCCACGGTACTTCGCATGTCGCCACATTTTTCCTCGAAAGCTTGAATTCTTGCTCGATTGGTTTCGAGTTCCTGAGTGATTTCTTTTGCCTTGGCCTTTTCATCCTTTAATTCCTGTTGCAACGTTCCGATCGTTCCATCCAGCTCCTCTATCTTCGACTTCGTCTTCTGCAGCTCCTCGATTGTGCTTTCTGCCTCCGATTTGACTCGTTCCAGTTCTGATTTATCATGTTCCGCTTTTTGTTGAAGGACGTTCAGACGCTCTTCTGCACTGGCACGTTCCGAAGCATGCATCGATATCAACTGTCTTGAATCTTGTTCCATATTCAACTTTGCGCGACTAAGCTCACGTTGAAATATGACCGATTGCACACCAAGTCGCTGGATGTGCTTGACTTTTTCCTCTTGTGCTATCTTCTCTCGTTCCAGTGTCATCTGTAGATTGTACTCGGTTTCCTTTTGTGCATCAACCAAGAAGGAAATCTGCTTTCTGTGCAGCGACATGCCAGTAAACATAATGCTCGAAAGAAATTCTTCGTTTTCAGGAGTTGCACATGCCTGTTGGAGGCGCATGAAGCGCTTTGTTTGGTCCAWGGATGGTGTTGTCGTGATCGTCTTGTTCGCAATGTTTCGTTCGATTTCTCCCCCTTCAATTCGAGTATGATATTCAACCAAAAAGTCGTTCACAGCGGAGGAAATCCTGGACATTAAAAGTGCTATGCTTTCGTTCGGGGGTGCTGTGGATGAACTGTATGCCAATCGAGCAAGAGATGTTGCCACAGACAATCGAACGGGATGATCAAATCCTTTGGGCTCTTTSRTTTCCTCRTGCTCAATGCAGATGCTGGTTTCGTCCATTCTCGATAGATTGTGAAGAGGCGGAGTTTCTGTGTTAATGCCCACGACGTCGTCTCCTCCAAGACTAAAATCGTATCGAACATCTCTGGGTTTGATGAGGTAGATTAGCGTTTCGAGGTTGTGAGCAGCGAGGTTGTCAACAAAGTAATTTCGTTTCTCTTCGTATTCCAACAATGTTTCCATCGTATCTACGAGTGTTAAGAGAAGAGGCTGATTGGTGTCATCGGTGTCGGCGTGCTCCAACACAGTCTCCAAGTGATCCTCGATAACGGACTGATCGATGGCTCGCCAGATAGACCGCGACAATTCGTCGTTGCTAGACGCAAATCTCCTATCAGTGAGCATTATTCTGAGCAATCTCGATGTCATTAATCGTGTGGAATATGATGCACCCGATGAAAGACGAAGGGTGCCAAACAGAGAATATATTATCTTTCTCAACACTTTCATYTTGTTGACACTCCGGTGACTAGAACTGTTGCGTTGTGAAGGAAACGAATGCGTTGCTTCTATCGGATCGGCATGCATGTCTTCCAGGACGGAATCGAGGCTGTAACGTGCGTGGTTACGAACAGTGATGTACAACCAAATAATTCCTCGCAGGTTGCTGCAATCGCCCGATGATAGATTTGGATCATGAGTACTGCCAGTCTGCAAGAGATTTGACCAGAAYGCGGCTACTATCGACCTAATTTTCGGTTCCAGGTTGACAACCACGGCCCTCCAAGCTGCACCGTCACAAAATTTCCAACAGGAAAACAAGTGCAGGCCAAACGACTGGAGACGGTCCTTTTGAAAGTGGTTCGAAGCCATCGAGACCCATCGCGACGTTGAGAAGAAGGTGAACTGCACAAGATTCTCCACCAAACCCGTCGACTGAATCGTCTGGTCCACGCCACGAAACAAGGAAGCATGTTCGGATATGGTCAGCGATCTTTGCAGCAAGGACAACGCCGACATTGACAGCATTGCGATTGGCAACGTGTGTTCCGAGGACGAGGGTGGCAAGATGGAGTGGTTCAATATTTGAATTCCCTTGATCAGTTTCGATATGAGTTCGGTGAGAATACTCTCTGGTAGCACGCAATCCTCATTGGTACTAGATCTTGAGATACTGTCTGATGTTGGTGATGTTGATACATTCAATACTTGATGCCGTAAAAGGATGACAAGAATGGTCAGCGAGGCCACCTTTTGTCGCTCTTGGTCTGGACTGGAGGCTGCCGATATCTGGTGTTCGTTCGAACGTTGCTGATCGGCATGAGAACTGTAGTGCTTGGAACAACCATACAGCTGGAACAGGGATTGGAACGAACGCACTGCGAGTGAATTCATGGCCCGCTCATCAGATATCCACCACGTGGATCTAKTGTGATCTCCGTTCGTTAGAGTAGTCAAATATTCCAATCGATCGAGAGACCTCCAGGCCGTAGCGAGACACATGGTTGAAGTTTGTCGGATCCTTTCGCGGTGTTCCTTCTTCAAGCGCAAGCGCCTTCGGTTGTCCGATGGGACGCTCAATAGCGTTAGCGCATCTAACAAGGTCTCGTGGGTGCTCTGGACGGCACTGCCCCTCTGGCTGATGCTCTTATCTTGGACGAGTGCCGCATACAGCACGTGATCTTCCCAATCCCSAATYACATTTGCCAASAGTTCCATCACCATGACTCCCACGCTTTCCGAATTCCTGTTCGGAGCATCCGTGATGCTGCTGTCGCTGTTTCCTGTCTCCTCGTTCGATTCGTCTCTCCACAAACMGAATGATCGCACACAACCGACGACGATGCGCCCGAATCCCTGGGCCAGTTCGGGCGACCAATGAAAGAACTCGGAGCGTTGGAGCTGCACCCTTTCCAGAAGGCCTTTCACCAGAGAAAGGGACGGAACACCCCCGGCAGAGTGCTCTGCCGACCGAATCAGGTCCCGCACCATCGTTTCT